TGCAAGAAGAATGCTGGCTGGAACTCCTCTGAGGAGCTGGAGAAATAACAGTGCACCCTGAACAGGTGAGGGCCAGGGTCAGGTTACCTGTAGTAGGTGCCAAACCAGTTGAGGGGCATGTACAGCTGGATGATATAAGTGCCAAACAGCACAAAGTCCCCAACCTGTGGACATCAAGGGAAGAGGAGTCACAGGAGGCCTGCGGGCTCTCACCCTGCCCAGTGGCTATCACCCTGCCTGCTTCCCACCCAGGAACCTGGTGGCCTAAACAAAGACCCCGGTCCCCTCATCCCCAGGCCCAGCACAATTCCCTCACCTGTAGCTTCTGCTCACTGACAAAATATGCACAAAGCAGGGAGCCAGAGAGGAGCCCAAGTCCAATCACCAGGTTCTGGGTCTGATTTAGCAAAACCAGTGAAGCACTTGACTTCCACTCCAAACCCTGGGGCCATGACATGAGAGGAAGGAATATCACATACATGCTGACACTCACCAAATCCCAACCTGGCCCTGGGCACCTTCAACCTCACAGCCCAAATTTTACTCCTCTCTGTCCTGGCAATTCCACAAGGCCAGGCTGTTGCTCTCAGTAGGCCTCAAACTGGCATCCTCACCTGATATTTGATGATGGCCTCGCGATAGCGTTCCACTTCATAACGCTCCGCATTGTAATACTTCACCTGATGAATTCAAACCACCGCTGTTCCACACGGCCACAGCTTTCAGCTCAATTCCCCATCCCTCCTCCCTAATTGTAAACAGCACACCTCGCACCCCCCAGCTGCTCATCAGCCCCAATGGTCCCAGGCACACTCTTCCACATCTCCGAGCCTCACAACACTGACACCAAGGCCTCTGTTACCGTCTCAAAGTTTAGCAAAGAGTCCACAGCCCGTGCCCGGGTAGCATTCTCCTGTGTGTTCATAGCACGTCGAAACTTCGTTCTCCACTCAGTGACCACAATGGTCAGGGCTAGAGAGTGACAGGAGGAGGGAGAGGGAGAAGAAGAGAGCAAGACATCACTCCCAGCAGCGGAGACCATGTGCATGCCTGCTGCCGGTCACATGCGCGCTAACCCTGTGCTACAGCCCAGGGATCCAGATTCCAAAGGGGAGGGAGTCTTAAGCTCCCTGAGGGAAGGGGCTGTGTCCAAGACCTCGTTGCAGGCTGCATAAAGCCTGTGTGAAAACGGTTGTGGTGAACAAATGAACGCAAGCTGCATCCTGTTACAAAAATGAGGTTCGTCCTTGACTCGCATCCACAGCGGGCACCTAATGTGACCAGGATGCCCTTCCCCAGCCCTCCCTCCACCCAGGGTGAGCTGAGCTTCCCTCAGCAGAGGAGGCTCACCCGTCATATTGGAGAGCAGCAGGAGGCTATGCGGGTCCACTGATCTACAGTCTCCCAAAGCTGGGTCACCTGAGTGGGGGCAGGGCTCATGCCCAAGGGAGTCCGTGGATAGTTCAGGGAGGTGGCTTCACCAAGCAGCACTCACCGAGGTAAAGACTCATGCACAGGAACACAATGAGGCCAAACCAGGCATTGAAGAACATGCTGAAGTAGATGATGCCAATGATGATGTCGGCCAGCGTGGGGATGATGTTGAACACCAGGTAGCTAGGAGGTGAAGTCAAGCAACGAAGAAAGGTTTAAGGGCTCGGAGCCAGCAACTCTCCCTAGGGGGTTTCAGCGTAGTGTTTTGTTTTCAACAGCAACAGACTGGAATCAAGCTAAATGCCCCTTAAGAGGTAGATGGCGAAGTAAACCATAGGATGCCCAAATTATAGAATGCTCTGGATCAATTATAATGAATGAGGAAGATCTTCATGTGTGGGTTAGAATACATCTCCCTAACATTTTGATAATAAGGCCATTCGGAGAATGACATCTACTTCATGACACCATTCATTTTAGGAAAAACCTCCACGATACCACATTAGTTCTGTGAGTCTGCATGTATATATGTAAAAAAATGCAAAAAAAGCAGAACTCAACATACTGAATGGAGTGAGAACCTCTGGAGAAGTGAGCGGAATTCAAAAGAGATTTGCTCTGTCTTCTTTATTTGAATTATTACGAGAGCATGTGTACATTAATTTTACAATTAAAAAAAAAAAGAGGACAGAGGAGCAGCTCCTCAAGCTGGGTCTATTCTCCTGACAGCCCCTCCACCCCTGCTTCTCCAGACCCGCCCTCCCACACTTCCTTTCCATTGGCTTGGCACCTGAGCAGCCCCGTGACACTGGATGTGCCCCGGTCCACGATCCGCAGCACCTCCCCCGTGCGGCGCCCCAGGTGCCAGCGCAGCGAGAGCTCGTGCAGGTGGGAGAAGAGGCGCAGCTCCACCTGCCGCGAGGTGAACTGCTGCACCCGGATCCATAGGAACGTGCGCAGGTTGCTCACGAAGCCTGCGGGAAGCCAGGGGAGGCCTTGGTAGGGCTGAGAAGCCTAAGGACGTCATCCCAGCAGCAAAATGTGAAAGGTCTGAGAGCACCAAGGGGCCTGGGGGAAGGACGCCTGTGGGAGAAGGGAGAGGGTCCAATACCAACCGAGGTGAGAGCAGAGTCCCTCATACCTGTACTGCCGGTGCCACCCCCCTGGAGGAACTTGAGGAAGACATAGGTGATGACAGTCCAGACCAAGGAGCTCCAAGGTGCCTTCTGGGTCAGCAAGTTCACTATGGAGAAAACGAGTCCGAGCCCACTTATGGACCCTAGAACCCTCTTCAGGAGAAACCGCCCCAGGAATCAGCCACAGTCTCTTTCTGACCACCCAGCTCCCAACTCTGTCCCACTTCCCTAGGCTAGTCCCCTGCACCAACCAGGCCAATGAAAGACCAAAGTGCTGAGCTGACAACCCTTCTCCCCTCACCTATGTCCCTGTAGAAGATGGGAACCAACACGTTCAGTCCCCGGTCCAGCCCCATGAGCCCCAGGCAGATGAGCACAACAAACTGCAGAGCTGGACTCCCTCGAGGCCACAGGTAGCCACTCAGTAGGCGGAGTTTCCTGCCAAGGTCTTGCCAGGTAGACCGTGGTGGCCCCTCTGTTGACTGAACCTAGGATGGTGAAACGCATAAGGGAGGGAAGCTCAGAAATCAAAATGAAGCTCACTATCCAGAAAGCCTCTAGGGAAAATGTATGGGATTACAGCTCCCAGGTAACGGTAACAGACCAACAAGCAATCCCTGATGGGGTAAAGCTAACAGGGCACAAACTGAGATTTAGGAAAGAAATGGGTTTTTATGGTGGGAAGAAATGATGACAGAGAATGGAATTAAGATAGATCTGAAGTTTCAGAAACCGAGGTGTACCTGGCTCCTGTCTACATCTTGATCCTCTTCATTGACCCGCAAGGTGTATGACTGGGGACGAAGTCCGGGGGCCCAGAGCCCCAGGACAAAAAGCCCTCCAGAGACCACATACCGCAGCACCCACAGGCTAAACTGAACCTAGAATTAAACATATGTGGGGAGACTATCAACGAGGGCCAGAATCCCATTGTTACTACTTATAACACATCTGGGGACTGGGGTAGGGCACACACCCAGGTCCTCCTCAGGGGCCCAGCATCTAATAGGCTTTTAAAAAAATCCACAGTGACTCAGCACAGCCACTCCCCAGCAGCTGGCTATCAGCTCCCAGCAACGCTGGCCCCTCCTTTCTTCCCTTTTTTAGAGGCATTCGAAAGCATGGAGCCAGTGTGACCAGACATGCCATCTTTCTTCCCAGCACCCGCTACCCATGCTTCCCCTCCCCCCACGAGGTCACTCACCTGCTGGCTCAAGTTCGCCCTTGCCCACCACCATTGTGGGCTGTTCCAAGACACTAGGGCCAAGTTCTCGGCTGCAAAAGCCACAGTCCAGAGGAGCAGGAGACCCGGGCTGTGCGTGAACTTGATCCAGACGCCCATTGCTAGCTTCTGCCGTGCCTGGCTCCGTTCCACCACGAGCAGCCCCAGGCCACAGGCGCTGGCCACAGTCCCCAATAAAGACGCCAGCAATAGGTAGCCTGGCAGTGGGGCACCCTGGGCAACGCCCACCCGGCCAACCAGGCCGGCTAGGGGCAGCGCCACCTGAAGTGTGGCCAGAAGCAGCTGCAGCACGTAGGGAGCTACGCGAGGGCCGGCCGCCCAAGACACCGCGTCAGCGCCACCTGGCCGCTCCGGACGTTTGCAGGGAAGAGCCGGCACCAAGGCCAGAGCCCCCAGGCCCATCAGCGTCGAGGGTACAAGCGTGAAGAAGAAGCAGGGGCTGAGGCCACCCTTCGCCCAGACCGGACCCGCGGGTCCTTCGGCCTCACAGTAGTTGCCCACAGTCACCATGGCAATGCGTGGCCGCCGGCCGAGGCTGAGGGGACTGAGGGACAGGAGAACTGGACCGGCCGCTCGGGGCGGGGCGCGGAATCCCGGGTATCTCGGGTCATGGAGCCTCGGGGCGCTAAGCCGCGGGGGTCGCGCGGCAGGGACGAACGTGGACCCGGCCACACCACCCCCTCGCTTCGCGCACGCGCCGCCGCCACGCACTCACGCCGGGGACGTACGCCGTCTCTGCCGTCCGCCCTTAGCTCGCGGCCGGGGACCCCCTGGCCAAGTCGGGGCCCACAGGAATGTTCAGCCTCTGCCTCCAGCCGCTCTCTTCCGCAGCAGCCCCGCCCACCAGGGCCGCTCCCAGCTCCTACCCAGGACCCCATTGGCCGAGCGTCTCCGAAGGGGCGGGGGAATGGTGCACGCTGGGGAAGGCAAAATAGAACAGAGGAGTCGGCATGGTCACGTGCTCAGGGCGGGAAATCTGACCGCACGTCCTGCCGGAGTCCTTGACCTCCACGGAACCAGGGATCGGAAGCTGCCCTCTGCTCGCCCAGTAGGTCGGTATATCCAAGCGATCGCATTGGCCAGCTTTCCCACAGAGCCGACCGGGTCCCCAGCCACCTGGGTGGTTCACACACACCCCACACCCCGCTTGCCCCCAGAACCTTGGCCACTCGAGACAACAAGCCGCGACCTGGTCAAAATCCCTTCTTTATTAAGGGTTGTCAAGCTGTACACGGTCCCCACCCCACTCCGCTGTAAGTTCGGGCAGCGTAGTTCACCGCTCACCCGCAGCGGACCGCAGCTGGGTGAGGGGTGGGGCGAAGGGAAGGAGCCGGGTCCCAGCATGCAATGCGGCAGCCCAAAGCGAAGCCGTCCTGTCGGCCCTCCATCCCCCTCAAGGGACAGTGGGATGCAGGCCAGAGCTCTCTTGCTGATAGGCAGCCAGTCGAGGGCACACTTCCAGCCCTGTCCATCCCATGTGCAGGTGGTGGGGCGGGGTACAATAAGCAGCAATAGGGGCCAGGAAGGCCTCAGTCTCCCGGGGGACCCATCTTAAAAGTTGGAGAGGGCAGCAAAGAATTTCCATCCTGCTCCTGCAATTTAGAAACTTCCTTCTTAGTGTCCAAAGATAGCATGAGGGGAGCTAGGAGCTAAAGCCTCCACACCAAGACAAAGCAAAAGCCGAACAGAAGGGGAACAAGCGAACAGAACAGGAGCAAGTGGCACACATGCCAGTGATGTGCAGGAAGCAGGGGAGAGGTGAGCAGGCTGCAGCACTGGGAGAGAACTGGGGGTGAGGTAAGGGCCACAGCCTGAGCTGCTCATCTGTTCAGGGTGCGGGGAGGGCGGCTGCAGAGGTTGAGGGTCCAGGCCCACCTCCCCACTCCACAGTTGGCACAGGTTCTCCCTGCTTGGCAGCTTCTGTGGTGGGCAGTCCTCTGGAGACTTGCAGGGTTGGGTGCAAAGGTGGCAGTACTGGGGCTGGGCTGGGGACCAGTTTCTAGCACCACACTCTGAGCCAAGGGGTGTCCTGGGGATGAGGCTAGAGTCCTGTGTGCCCTGGTTCCTAGGCCCCCAATCTCTCTCCTGGGGCTGTGGCGAGCCCAGCATTGGCACCTTCCTTGGCCAGGCACAGACACACAAACACCACACGCGTGGAGCCAGGCAACAGTCAGAGGAGCCCTCCATGGCAGGCGGATGGGATGGCAGGGCAACGGTGGCCTCCATCCTGGGGCATAGGGACCCCCTCAGCCTCGTCTATACCTGTGGAGAGAAAAGGGTTGGTAATGGAGATAGTCTTCAGCTATCTGCTTACACAACAGAAGCCTGGAGATAAAGGAAACGGAAAACTTGATTCTTGAGGAGGTAAGCAAAGGAAAAATCAAGTCCTGGATTTCACAGCAGGTGAGGGAAGAAAAGGAAGTGTACTTTGGTGGGGAAGTTGCAGTATCTCTGCCTGAGAGGCCCACCTCCCTTCACATGAGAAGCTTTGACCTCAGCCTGCAAGTTACTGCTTCTGGCAGTTGTTTTGGGGTCTTGAAGCCCTTACCTTGTGCACCTGAGGGGGAAGCTCATCCTCTGAGCCCTCTTCAGGCACGGGCTCTGGGTGCCTTGATGCTGACTGCCCATCTTCAGCCCATCCTCCAAGGGGCAGCCGAGAGAAGTGAGAGGGAGCCCGGGGCACTGTTCCAGGATCTAAATATACAAGTAAATACTCTTAGAATGAACACAAACAGGAACGAGGAGAAGGGTTCTGGGGCTTTTGGGGGTAGGTGGAAGTGCGGGGGAGGGATTAGTCTCCTTGGGTCTGGTCCCTCTGACTTCTTTCGTCCCCTAGAGGCCCCAGAAGGATCACCCTTCCCTGAAGACTCTGTGTCCTTCCCAGTGGATACCTGTGATGCCTCCGTAGCGCCTCTGGAAGCCCCCATGCAGGGCAGTGGTCTCAGGAGCTCCAGGCCGGGATGCAGCACAGGGATAGCTGGCGGAGCGGGGGATAGGCTGGGGGCCCCGGGCACCCTCTCCCCCCTCTTCGGGGGCACTCTCCCCACTCTCATCACTCTCCCGGCGGTGCCACACATGCCGCTCAGGTTCAGCCTGGGCCTGCTGCTTGTGGAGCTGCGAAGTGGGGGATTCATTAGTTGGGGACAGAAGAATATCTGTCTGAAATAGCTACCCTCCACCATGGTATCGGCCAGTTCCCATTTATAGTGCCTCACCTAGAATCACTGACCCAGGGTATCTGATGTGTTAATAATGTGTAACATACACATGATATCTTACAGGTTAAATTCTCAGCAGATCCCTGGAACAAGCCTGTGCATAAATTGTAATAGCTCTCATTTTCCCCAGTCATTTGATTCTGGAACAAATTGGTTGTGAATCTAAGTGCCAGGAACTCTTTTAGGTGCTAGGGATACAGCAGTGAACAAAATAGACAAAAATTCCAACTCCTGTGGGGCTTATACACTTCGGGGAAGTGGGGAAGGATAGATAATAAACAAATAAATAAGGGAAAAATACAATGTCCCATGGTGCTAAATGCTATGGAGAGAAAAACAGAACAGGAAGGTTCAGGAGGGTAGGCAAGGGAGGCTTTTACTCAGGGTGGCCAGAGGTGGTCTCATGGGGAAAGAAGGAGCATACTTGAATGAGAAGGAGGGAGCCCTGTGGATATCTCAGGGAAGTAGGTTCTTGGCAGGGGAAACCACAAGTGCGGAAAAGGCCTGGGCTAAAAAGGACAGGAAGAGGATGTATGTGGGAATGGAGATTGCAGAGCAGGTAAATGGCAGAGAAGAGATTTGAACCCAGGTCTTGCTTCACATCTAAAACCCTCTATTCTGTTTTCAGCTGCCACCTTGGTTCTACGACCCTGCCCCTTCCAGCCCACTCACCTGGTGCATATAGAGGGCATGCAGGCTCATCTCGGTGGATGCATATTCCGACAGCACCAGGCTCTGCAGCTGTCCTTCCCACACACTGCTCCCGGAGCTGGCTGTCCTGGCATCCACCCTGCCCCCCAGCACAGACAGCAGTCATCAACATTTCTGAGACCCACACAAATTGCTGGGGGCTACTGCCATGCCCTCCTCTCATGGCCCACCTCTACTCACCCAGAGCCTGTCATGGTGCTGGGAGCCCGGCCTGTGGGAGCCTGACCAGGCTGCAGAGGGGAGAAGGAGCACAGGGCAGAGGCGACCTCAGCCCTGTGCCTGGAGCCCTGCAGGTCTCTGGGCAGTGGGGGGCCCCGGCAGGATGAGCCGGCTACCACATTTGCAATAAGGCTCAGTGGCTATGAAAGAAAAGGGTGGGTAGAATTCTCAGGGCATAGGGATGCCTCTGAGTCCCCCAGTATTCTGCACATTAGGACCCAGTGGCACAGACTGGACAGAAGGAAACTGACCCGGTAGGCCCTTCCGCCCCATGCACACGTCCCACGTCCCAGCTCCTGGAGTCCACTCTTCCTGTCATCTCCCAGTCCCTAGGAACGCACCTCAGACTCAGATTGTAAGGATTGGATGGACGTAAAGAGTGCATTTTCCGGGAGCAGACCCCCTTGGGCAAGGCCTGCAGCTGCTCCGTCCCGCTGAACTTGCTCCTTGAGGAAACCGAGGAAGGCCGTGCTCTCACGTGGTGGCTGCCAGCCAGGGTTGGTGATGGCAAAGTGCATGAGTGACAACTCTGTCTTCCCATCCTCGGCTTGCTGGTACACTGAGGCCTCCGTCTGCCCACCGGACAGCCACTGTACAAGGGAGGCTGCAGTGAGCAGGACTGTCCCCTTACAGGAACCCTTTTTGTACCTTTCCTGCCAGTGGGGAGGCCTTGCCCCTGGAGGGCAGAGACCACAATGCACTGCTGTATCTTGTCCAGGGGCCCAGGTGCCCACCCCACGAGTGGCCACATGCCAGGCTAGCTGCTTGGTTTGTGCCTTCCAGGGAGCTTGGCCAAGGGTGCAAGTTTAAGGTTATAATCGAGCCCAGGCTCCTGTTTACAAAGCAGTGTGTGCCCTGGTACAGGGTTGCCCCAAGGCAGGGCTGCCTTTTTGTGATTTGTTGGCTCAGAAGGGTGCCTTTTTGCAGTTTGCCCAAAGACACTGTATATGCCAGCATCACCTCTGGCCAACTGCCCCCCTCCCTCCTTTCCTAATACCTGGGGGTGCCCATGCTGGCGAACATCCATCTGAGCGAAGGAGCAGGTATCTCCGACACCAACGACCTCCACGGTGAAACTCCGGAAGAAGTCTATAATCTCCAGGGCCCGTGGGCGCAGGCAGAAGATGAGGATGAGGGGGGTGACAATGGGGCTCAGTAGCTCCTCCAAGATGAACACCTAAAAGGGAAGGGATCAGGGTCACAAGAGAGCAGGAGGGAGCCCAGCCCTCGCCACCAGGCTATCAGCCAGTCTCTAGCAGGCCCTAACTCCAACTCCACTCACTGCCTTGTACTGGAAGAGCTGGGCAAACTCGTCCCGGGTCTGCGAGCGGTGGGCATTACCCTGCCAGTGGTCAGGCATGTAGTGGATGTGAGCGAGGATCACGCGGAGCAGCTGCTCAGGGCAGAACACCATGTGCTGGTCCGGAATAAAGGACCTAGTGGGATCAGGGTCATGGTGAGACATAAGCCCCCAGGAATGCTAGTTGGCTTGCTCCCACCTGCTCCCCTGGCCCACCTGCACACAGTCACGGTGACCCCCAGGAGCGTGACAGTGGTGAGGACATGTTCCACAGCCAACACATCTTCGTCGTAGATGGTGAGGGCAATAAGCACGGCCAGGATGGAGCCAGCAAAGAAGGCGCAGTTCTTGGCCAGCAGTGTCAGCAGAGGTGACAAGAAGCAATTCATGTACTTGGATGCGGGCTTGTAGCCTCGGTTGAGGCGGGACTGTAGCTCGTGCTCCAGCTCGTTGAAGTGGCGGAGGTAGCAGCGGCCGTAGAGCGACCAGCAACGTGCTCCCAGGGCCCCCGGCTCCCGCTTCAGCACCTCGGCGTAACTGAAAAAGGCATAGAGGATCTGCCAGATGAGGATGAGGGGGCACAGCAGGAAGTTGGCGATGCCAATCCACAGGATGCGGTTGCTGAGACGCTGGGCCAGCTCGAGCCGTTGTCCCCCACGTTTGTACTCAGCCTTGAGGCTCCATTCATTGAGAAACAGAGAGCCAGGTCCCCAAAAGAGGATCAGCTCGAAGTTGTACTTGAGGCCCCGAGTGAAGAAGACAACCTCCCCGAGACCGGGCAGGCGGAAGCGCAGAGGCAGGAGGGATTTGTTAACCAGTGCCACCATGTAGTTCTGGAAACGGAGGATGCGGTGGTAGATGTCCAGCTCTGTTAGCTCACGTTTGTGGATGCAGATCTGGTGCTCTTTCTGGGTCTGCACAATCCGGGCCTGTACTTCTTGCCACGTGCAGTATGGAAGCGCAGACTATGGGGTGGGGAAGAGACGAGGGATGGAAGGTGGGGTTGTTGCCTCGGCCCCTTGCCCTGCATGAGCTGTGAGGCTCAGGGGTCCTCTGAGTGGAGCTTTTAACCGGATGCTCCTTGATCTGCAGAGGACGGCTGAGGCTGCCTGATGCCCAGGAATACAACCCCCCCACCCCCCCGCCGCTTCCCAAGCTGCAGAAGACGTCCTGGCCTGTGGTTGTAACTGCCCAATTTCCCAGTCTCACCATGGGGATGCGCAGAGCATGCAGGTAGAAGGAGTGGATCTCCCAGTAGCAGCAAATGTTATAGATGAACTTGACGAGCCGGTGAACCCAGAAGACACCAGCAATGACGAGGATGGTGATAAGGGAGCCATTTTCCTGAATCCTGGTGGGGAAAAGAAGGGGAGGAGGAGTGGCCCTTGAGGAGCCTTGGCAGACATGCTGCTGTCCTGAAGGATTTGGAGAGGCTGAGCCTGAGCCTGTGTTCTGGGGAATGTTACTGCCTCACACTCCACTCCATTCCCCACCTGCTAGCTGAACAACAGGCTCTGGTGCCCTCTGAAGTGCCGCACTTACCTGGCGCTACAGACTTGGGCAGGCAAAAAGGCATCTGGCAGAGTAACCTTGACAGGCTCGGTAGGGTGAAGACTGTGGTTCACCATCTTGTTGGCAAATAGGATGTCGTAGTCCACACAGCTGACCAGGAAGGTGGTGAACGCAACCACAAAGAGGAACTGCCTGGGGAGTTGGGAAAAGAGGGCGCAGTCCGAGAGATACCAGTGAAATAACATGGGAAAAATGAAGAGTCTGGAAGCCCCAGACCAAAATTAGGGAGCAGCCTCTGGGGAAATGGGCTGGAGAACTCCGTGTGGGCTCTCTCTACTGCTTGGCCCCAGGGGACCCAAGCCAGCTCCTACTTTTTGCTCTTAGCTTCAGGCACCACAGAATCAGCCTGCTTTTCCACCTCATAGTAATCTCTGCCACCACTCGCTGGACTCCTTCAAAGGTCTTAAATTGTGGTCTGTGGTCCCCAGTACCTGATTTCCTTTTGAGATGGTAGTTAGAAGCCCTTTGCGGATTTGAACTCTTTTCTTATGGAGGGAAGGTTTCCCAACCCCTTGACATTTGGCAAAGCCATATGGCTCCTTCCTCCTAGCAGGCTCTCTACTCAGCAGCAGGCCTAAGGTGCAACCAAGGCAGAACAGAGACATTTTTCTCAAGTGAGTGGCTGGCATCTCTGATACCTCCTGCCTGAACCATGCGCATTCCACTGGAGCTCTGATGAAATGATCAAGTCTGACTTCTCTTTGTGGAAGAGACAGGACTTGGAAAGCTTTCCTTATAAGCGAGATTAAAAAAGATAAGGCTGTAAAACGGTGTCACACCCAGTCCTTAAACTATAAATGTTTGCAGAGTTTTGAGCCTAGGACTGACTTGCATTGGCGGTTTGGGCCAGGCGTTGAGCTCAAAGAGAGGAAACACTGAAATGTATTCCTTCACCACATCGTCCATCCCTTCTTATACTTACATGAGCTCAAAGATCTCCCCGATGAGCATACAAGTGAAGCCATTCTTCTGGTGTAGATTATAAACGTGTAATTGTTAAGAAAAAGTGGTCTGTATAGACAGCAATTAAGAGCACAGGGACTTCCCTGGTGGTGCAGTGGTTAAGAATCTGCCTGCCAATGCAGGGGACATGAGTTCGATCCCTGGTCCGGGAAGATCCCACATGGAACAAAGCCCGTGCGCCACAGCTACTGAGCCTGTGCTCTAGAGCCCATGAGCCACAACTACTGAAGCCCACGCTCTTAGAGCCCGTGCTCCGCAACAAGAGAAGCCACCACGATGAGAAGTATGTGCACCGCAACAAAGAGTAGCCCCTGGTTGCCACAAGTAGAGAAAGCCCGTGCAGAAATGAAGACCCAACACGGCATAAAAAAAAATTAAAAACTTAAAAAAAAAAAAAAGTACAGACTTTGGTGTCACATACCTGAGCTGAAGTCCTGGCTCTATGACTTTCAAGCTGTGTGACTTTGGCCAAGTTACTTAACCTCTCTAAGCTTTTGTCTGTAGTGGTGTGTTGGGAATAATAGCACCTGCCTCATAGGATTATTAGGTCTGAGATAGTGCATATAAAGTATTTAACACAGAACTGACACAGAATAAGTCAAATGACATTAATTATTATGGTTATTAGCATACCATCAAAAAGAATCACACTCAGAGAGGTTCCTTATAAACTAACACTACAAAATGCAAGGCACGTAGCTCTTGATAAATGTGAGGTATCATTGTTTATAATGATCATTATTTCTCTAGCCTCTTTCAGGCTCAAGGTGTCTGAAAAGGATTAGAGCCATACCCACACCGACTTCTCATCAGGGGCCTGGCTTAGAGAGGGGCTATAGGTCCCAGAGCTCCAACACAGAGACACAAAGGATATTCGAGAGAAGAAGAGATCAAGGTTTTCGATGTGGTGCCAAGGTGCTGTGGGTACAGGAGCAGAGACATCAGAGCCCTGAAGAAGTGGAAGCCCCTGCTCCCTCAGTGTTCCTCCACCAATTCTCCCCCCAAGCCCCAGCTCTGGCCGTCATGTCCAGGAACTCACACTTGCTCCCCTCAGGGACATGCACCAACAGGTCCTCCTCCCCGGGGGGTGAATCGCTGTAGGAGGCCTCTAGGCGCTGGTATTCAGTGTCAAACTGCGCCATCACCACCGCCCCCTGTCCACCTTGTCCACCTGTGGGTAATGAGGAAGCAGAGACCCAGGTTCAGATCCCTGGTGCTGTTGGTCTTCTCCCCTGCCTACCAGACCAGAAATGACTGAGAAGGAATCCTGGGCTTGGTCTCCACTACCAGTCTTCTTGGATCAAAGGCAGAGAAAGAGCAGTAACCCAAGGAGAGCAACAAGCTCAGGGCTTGGGAGGCCCTCACCGACCAATGAGGTCAGTCATTCCCAGAGCCTTTATTGAATGTCTACGGAGGCCTTGCTGGCCTGAAGGCAGATTCTGGCCCTGTGGGGGGTCTGCTTCATCTTCTATTCACTGGAGAGAAGGGGTCCTCCCCCTCCCCTCCTAGAGAAACCTTGGTCTCCCAAGAGACTAGCAGTTTGGAAGCACTTTGTAAACAGAGATTTGAGATAAGCACATGGCCCTACCAGCTCCATGGGCAGTGTCTGCTCCACTCCAGCCCTCGATGCCCTGGCTCTGCAGCTGCTGGAGGAGAAGGTGTCAGGCCCCGGAGAGTGGGGAGTGGGAACAGAAATAAACCCAACCCTACCACCCCCCGACGCCCCACACTCAGGGGCGGCCAAGCAAGGGGCAGGGAGGCTGCAGTGGGAAAGAGGCACCCTTCCAGCCTAGGGCTATGCGTACTTCCTCTGGTTGTATTATACACGGCCACTCATTCAACTCTAGGGTCCCAAGAAGTGTCTAAGTGAACCTGTGGAGACTGAGTCTGTACAGGGCTGGACTGTTTCTCCATTGCCCCACTTCAGCCTCAGAAATTAGATGGACCGTTCAGGGTCCACAAAGCCCCAAACCCAAAAGCCAAGAAGAGAGTCTTTTCTAAAGAGGACCTTTCTGGTCAACTCCTTCCCTTGCTTCCCTAGCCCCAAAGGCCCAGCAGGCAGGCAGAGTTCCTGGATGGGATATACTGATTGGGTCAGTGTAGACCTAGATTCTGGGTGAACTGCCTTGGTCCTGGAGCCAGGCATGATCTAGGTGGCACTCAACCAGTCAGTGCAGACCCCGTGGCTGTGGAGCCCTGCCCAGCCAGGCCCCGGTGGGATTCCCTGGGTTAGTGAGAACCCTGGGTCCTAAGCTGACCAAGCCCTCAGGGAACTCACCACTTATTGGGTCAGTGTAGACCCAGGGCCCATAGAGCCCCTGCCAGCCGGGCCTGGGTTCAGGGGTTCCTGCGAACGTTGGAGGAATCAATCCAGTCCGACAGCCGATACCCGCAGGTGGGCTGGGTTGCCTCCCTACACCCAGCAGCCACGACCCGAGCCCAGCACGCCCCCAGATTGCCCGGCCCCCGGCCAAAGGCTCGGCTCCCAACAGCGGACAGCACTGCGCGCGGCCCCGTCGCTCGCGCGCGCCCCCGTCCGCGCGCCCCCGCTATCAAAACATTCCGGCTGCGCGCCCCCGCCCCGCCCGCGGCGCCCCTTCCCCCGTTACTCGCCGCGAGCTCACTTAGGGCTCCGAGGGCACCCCTGGCCAGGCCCGACCGGGACCGTGAGATTTCGGTATCCGGTCTCGCGTTTCACCTCAGGGACGGTGACCCGGGTGATTCCAGGGGCTCCGTCGGCTCCACTGGGCTCTGCCCGACCCGGAGCGGTAGGCCCGGCGTCTGCCACTCACTGTCACCCGCAGTTAGCCTGACCAATGAACGTGATAGGTGGAGACACGACGGCCAATCTCGGCGTCTGGGGCGGGACTAAAGGCTAGAGGCGGGTCTTGGAAGTCAGGGGACCAATTGTGCGCTCTACGTGGGGAGGGGTTCAGGTGCGGGCGACGCCTTTTGTCCTCTTTGCTGCCCCGTAGTGACGAGATTGTTGTGCTTTTGCAGAAATCCGTGCTTCGAACTGTAGACGGCCGTGTCACTCGGCTCCCTGGGACCTTTGGGGCAGCTTCTGAGGGCGGGGACGAGTTCACGCGGTTTAGTCACTGCTGGAGGTCGTCGCACGGGTAATGAGGAGCGGTTGGTTAATGAACCTCAGTGATTTTAATTCTGTTGGACTGGATTTGGTTGCTGAATGCGCCCCCATTTCACTCTTGTGTGGTCCGAGACTGGGGGGTGTGAGAAAGCGGGCTGGGGTCACGTATTAACCCCTGTCACCAGGGCGAGGGCCGTGGTGCCTTGCGCCGTGGGGGAGACCAAGTCATGCTGGCGGGAGACGCGGCATAGGATCTTGCTTTGGGGAGCTCTGTTTCTTAACCGCCTTTGTGCTCAGCCATGTCGCCGGCTCCAGCTGCAGCCCAGGCTTCTGTGTCGGTCTCCCTGTTTGACCCCAAGGCGGATACTCCGGTCCTTCAGGGCCTGCGCCTGGTGAGCCATGCTCCCGGGGAGGCTCTGGCCCAGGCTCTGCAGGTTTCCTATCCAGGTATCTGGGAAGGTTTGGGGTGGACCCGTGAGGGACGTGACAGGGCTCTTTAAAGGGAGCTTATTGCTCCTTCAGGGAACACATTTTTTTATTGGTGTTTCCCAGCTTAGGAGCCCTTGTTGACATCTCCTTCTACTGGATAAAATTTATCAAACCCCAACTGCAGAGTGTTTGGTTTTTACTTTTCCTTTTAAGCTGAGGTTTGTGTATATGTTTCTTAACTGTTATGAATTTAAGGCAACATTTGTACGTGTAAAATTAAAATCTATATTTTGGTCAAAAAAAAAAGAATTCACTCGATCTCTGGATTTCCAGAACAGGCTCCTGAATTGTCTCCAAACAAGTCTCTTGCCATTGTTTATGCCTCATCATGTTACCACCACTGCCTGCAAAAACACTTCAAAATTCCTTGACATAGTCCAAATTTAACTATTCCAATCAAGTCATTCCTTCTTGCTGAATATAAAACAACTTACTCTTGGTTTCATACAGCTTTAGTTTGGCTGTTTCTCTTGTACCTTTTTAAAGAACAAACTGCACACTGTAATTGGAAATATAAGCTAAAAAAGTGGCATTTGGGAAGTGATTTTTGCACAGTTAAAAAGAATTTTAACTTTACCAGAAATCATTTTCTAGGATTTCTCTAAACAATCCCGTTGATTAATTTACAATGTTTGATTTATATTCATTTTACGTACATCTTTTCAGAAGCATATTTATTGTATAAGGTGATTGTTGTGCTATTCGCTTCGTTATTACTAGATTGTAAATTCCTTGAAGGCAAGGACATGCCATCTCTTTTTGTATCCTCCTCTGCTTTGTATATCAGACTCTGAATGTAATCCTAGATACTGTGGATTTGGGCTCCTTTTCTACCTCTGTTTACCCTCCCCTTATTTAGGTTCAGGGGAGAGAATAAGCCCAGAAAGAAAACCACTCCAGGGTCCTCTGGATATTTCAGAGAAGTTGTTTCGTTCAACCTGTGACCAGACCTTCCAGAACCACCAGGAACAGGTAAAAGACCAGGTACAGAGCTAAATGGTGGAAGCAAAAGTGTAATGGTAGGTGGGGAGAGGTAGACATTTTGTCTTTAATGAATAAAGTTCCATGTTTTAACTAAGAAAGTTAGTGTTACCTGGTCATACTTCCTGGAGTTCTGTTAGAGGTCTTGTATACCATAAAAGGCCAGGCTGGGCCATGCTTCCACACTGTGCTTCCTTCTTTGCCTCCTGCTAGAGGGGACATTATGAACTTGATTGGCATCGGTTTAACCTAAAGCAGCATCTCAAGGACAAGCCTCTCCGGTCTGCCCTGGACTTTGAAAAGCAGAGCTCCACAGGTGATGACTGTTGGGAGACCTGTGTGGGGATAGGTCATGGGGATGGAGAAAGACCCTAGTTTAGGAGCTTGAGGAAAGGTCAAAGATGGGGCACCAAACTTGCGTATCTCATGTTGTTCTCAGGAGATCTTTCCAGCATCTCAGGATCAGAAGACTCAGACTCAGCCAGTGAGGAGGACTTGCAGATACTGGATGAGGAGAGGGCTGAGTTTGAGAAGCCTGACCTACCCCGAGGCTTCCACCCCCATCGGGTTCTTTTCCAGAATGCCCAGGGCCAGTTTCTTGATGCCTATTGCTGTGTCCTAGGCCCTCGCCAGGCAAGTGCCAGCACAGGTTGTGTGGTCAACTCCAGCCTCCTGTACACTCAGCCTAGACTTTCCCTCAGCACAGTCCGTGTCTCACTTCCTTCCTTCCTTCCTGTTGGGGGTGGGTATCACACTTGACAGCACAGTCTTGGATTGAACTGGCTTGAATCTTAGAAGGGTCAAGTGTAATGGAATTAAGTTTGGAAATAGACCAATCTAGGTTTGAATTATGGTTCTACCACTTGACCTTGACTACCTCCACAAGCCTCAAATTTTCTTTTTTTTCTTTTTTTTTTTTTTTGCGGTACGCAGGCCTCTCACTGTTGTGGCCTCTCCCGTTGCGGAGAACAGGCTCTGGACGCGCAGGCTCAGCGGCCATGGCTCACGGGCTCAGCCGCTCCGCGGCACGTGGGATCCTCCCGGATCAGGGCACAAACCCGTGTTCCCTGCATCGGCAGGTGGACTCTCAACCACCAGGGAAGCCCTCAAATTTTCTTATTTGTAAAATGGGGACAAATAAGTTGTATTAAAAGAGATGATGCATGTGAAGCACTTAGCATTGGCACTTATTTCTTGCTGTCAGAAAGTGCCACAGATATGTTCGTGCTGCTCCTCTGTCATCCAGGTGCCCCCAGAAGCAGCAGAAGTGCTGCTACAAAACCTGAAAAGCGGAGGTCCCAGGGACTGCATGGTGCTCATGGCTGCTGCTGGGCACTTTGCTGGTGCTGTTTTCCAAGGGTGAGAGGGTGCTGCATGGGGTAAGGATGGAATGGATCCTGGTAGCCTGGGAGTACCAGCTGGTTTCCAGTACTGAGTCTGTGCTGTCTACAGACAAGAAGCGTTGACACACAAAACCTTTCACTGCTACACAGTGCGGGCCAAGTGGGGCACAGCCCAGGGGCTTCGGGATGCCCGGGGTGCGGCTTCCCGCTCTGCTGGAGCCAACCTGAGGCGCTACAGTGAAGACATGCTATATAAGGTGAGTTAAGTGTCCAGATCTGGTGCTCCTCTAATCCACACTTTTTCCCTCTCAACTGATTAAATGTTACAGTAGGGAGGCTGGCTCCTGTATCCCCTGTCTTGGTTATTTTTGGGTAGATGAAGGTAGAATGGGGTGAATGCCCAGGATTCTTAGTCCTGTCATTCTCCCTCCATTATCTTCTTTCTTTCTTTCTTTTTGGCTGCATTGGGTCTTCATTGCTGCGCACGGGCTTTCTCTAGTTGCGGGGACTACTCTTCGTTGCGGTACGCGGGCTTCTCATTGCGGTGCCTTCTCGTTTCAGAACACGGGCTCTAGGCATATGGGCTTCAGTAGTTGTGGCACGAGGGCTCTAGAGTGCAGCCTCAGTAGTTGTGGTGCACGGGCTTAGTTGCTCCGTGGCACGTGGGATCTTCCCAGACCAGGGCTCGAACCCGTGTCCCCTGCATTGGCAAGCGGATTCTTAACCACTGTGCCACCAGGGAAGCCCCCTCCATTATCTTCTGCCTCCCACTCCCTACACATGATCTGTGGGTCATGTTTTGGTTGGAGATTTAAAAGTAGCAAGTGAAGAGATGCAGGGCTGAGTTACTTTCTTCTCTAGGATGTTTGTGACCTGCTGGAAGGGCCAGAATAGGCTAAGGTGCTGGAGAAGGCTGGGACGATACTGATGCGTGCACCCCGCTCTGGCCGGTCCTTGTTCTTTGGAGGCCATGAGGCTCCCTTGCAACGTGGGGATCCCCGACTTTGGGATATCCCCCTCACTACCCGCAGACCCACCTTCCAAGAGCTACAGCGTGTGCTCCATAAGCTGACCACCTTGCATGTCCACGGTGACCCTTCTGTCCAGATCCCCAGACTCCCTAGACCTTCCCGTACCTCCCGGCCCAAGCCTCGGCTTCTCATTTGTGCACCCAGATGATTTTCTAGCCCTCGTACTGCAGTCCGATGGCATCTTCATTGAGAGAAACCTGGGCGGGCTTCTCCTCAGCTAAATTTGAGAACCATCTTTTGTTTTATGGCAGGAGAAGACCCCCGGGAGACAGTCAGGTTGGATTTACCTCAGACAAACTGGAAGACAATGAGAGGAAGGAAGGCCACTGAGGAAGAAAGAAAGGTCCGCAGTGATGAAAATGAGGCACTCGGGCGGAATGAGGAAGCTCCCAAACAGGGTTTGAGCACCATCTGGCAATTGTCAACTCTCTCTCAGGGTCTGTCCTAGAACTGCAGTGGCAAATCCCCTACTGTCATAACTTATTCACTTCCCTATTTATAGGTAAACCCTTACATACTACACACACACACACACACACACACACACACACACACGTCTGTTTATAGTGTGGGGTATGTGGTAGCAATTACACGTTTTGTGACTTTTCCAAATCTATCGTCTCTTTTGTTCACTGACGTTATCTCTAGTACTTTGAGAAGTCTTAGCATGAAGTCGATGCTTGAATGTGTGTTGTGTGGATCTTACATAATTTACCTGTCTTCTTGGATGCTCTGGTTTTGGGCTAAGGGCTGCTTGCCTTGCTGCAGACTGTTGGCCTGCATGGCTGTCACTGCTCGTGCTTTCCTCTGTTGTGCACCACCCTAAGGCTGTCATGGGAATGTTCAGGGACTCTTGTCCCTGCATAGCTTCTTCTGGGCCTGTGCTTGTCTGGGCTGCGAGCCTCATCTCTGCATGTGATACTAATGGCTTCAGCTCTTGATGGGCTACTTTATCTTGGGTGACAAAATACAAACACTTTTATTTCAAGTGATCTGGATTTTCTCTCTGTGTACATTCTTATGCATCTGGGGCAGCCCACAACCTTCTACCCTCTGCTTATTCCTGAGATGGATCTAACATAGCAGATTTTTCCCTAGGTTCAGAGTCAGAGGGAGAGGATGGCTCCCAGGTAGAGTTGGAGCTAGTAGAGGTGACACTGGGGATGCTGGATCTTCGTGAATTTGAGGTATTGCCCAAGCAGAGGAGGAGAAAAAGGAATAAGAGGGAGAGAAACCAAGACCTGGAGGCTGGGGCGCAAATGACTCTTTCCCAGCAACCTCAAGAAGATGAGGCCTTTTCAGAGTCAGAGCCTTTGGGGCCTTCCCCAGATGAGGCCAAGTCCCCTGGTCAGCCAGAGCACTGGGATGTGCTCTTGGCTGCTTGCCGAGCTGGAGATGGGGGATGCTGAAGCTCTGGCTAGCTGCCAGCCCCCTAGACCCTGGAGTTCTGTCTCTGCTCAGTGCCCCCTTGGGCTCTGGTGGCTTCACCCTCCTGCACGCAGCCGCCACAGCTGGGAGAGGCTCAGTAGGTAAGGGCCCTCGTGCCGGCCCCTCCTGACGATGATCTTGGCACCAGCTACTTAGCAGTGTTTCCCCTGGTCTGCTTGGGTGATGTTGGGAGGAGCCGGAGGCAGGTGATGTTGAACTCATTTTTTGGGTTTTTGCACCTAGGGACTACCGGACCCGGCCACCGTACACGGTTGCAGCTGACAAATCATGTGATGAGTTCCAGAGCTTCATGGAGAAGAATCCAGATGCTAATGATTACAGCAAAGCTCAGGTCAGCTGGAAGAGGCAGCAGCAGGGTGGGAAAGCATCAGAGATTCTGGCTAGATCTTTTCTATTTTCTTCCAGTTTTACCAAGGATAGTTTGTATAGGTCTTACCTTATACCTTCCCAGAAATCCTCCAGGTGCCAGGGCCACTGACAGCGGAAATGGAGGCGCGGCAGGCCATTCGGAAAAGGGAGCGGAAGGCAGCCCGGCGGCACCGGCAGGAGCAGTAGTGGGAGCAAGAAGAGCAGCGGAGATTTGCCGCCCTCAGCGACTGAGAGAAGGCGAGGCTGGAAGTTCTTTCTTCCCCAGCAACACTTCCTTAGAGGTCTGATCCAGTGTGCAGTGTCACTTCTTGGGTACCCTCTCCACCACTGGGGCCTTGTCCTTAACACAACTTCTCTTCCCCTCAGGGAGCTCTGGCTGCAGAGCGCCGACTGGCTGCCCATTTGGGAGCCCCTACCCCTCAGGTCCCTGACCCTGCCATCATCAGTGTTCGGTACATAGAGGGGGTGGGCGTGAGTGGGTAGGTTGTGATGAGTTAGAGGCCATTCTGGACAAGTAGAATGCGTGCCCGCTCAGTGTTCAGAAAGGCTGTTGAAGGGATTTGAGACGCTCTGGGAACCTTTGGAATAAAAATAGAAGTGGCAGGAGGAGGGACAGGGAAGGCTTGGATTAGAAAGTTTCTGGGACACCTCTCCAGCCATTTTTCTTCCTCTTGTTCAGACGCCACTGGAGCTGTGGGACATCCCTCCAAGGCCTCATATTCCCTTTCACTACTTTGACTTCTTTCCTCTCCACACGCTGCCTCCAGGATCATCGCTGTCGGGCTGGAAAGCCCTTTTCCTGATCTCTTACAGCTCCACCTGGGGCCAACTCTAGGCTCTGAGAGGGCACATACACACTGGCCCCCTCTGGTTTCTTCTTCCCCACGAAACCAGAGAGTATTTGGAAGATTGGGGTGAGGGACATTCAGGAACCAGGGCCATAGAGGTGTGTGGAGCTGGTACTGTCTCTGGAATTTTAATCACAATGAAGTTTGGCAAGGAAACTGCACTTGTACTTACATTCAGACCTGTGGCCTTTGTTTCCTTACGGTCACCATGACTAGTACCAAGGGATCCTGCCCACTCCATGTCCCAGGTCCAAGGGTTACCTTTCTTTCAGTGCCCACTTAACTCCATTGGTTCAGAGGCACTTTCAGCTGAGAGGGAATAGATGTATGTCTTATGCATAGTGCTACTGAGGATAGGCCTATCCAGGAATTGGATTTGGGGCTGAAGAGGCACATTTTCTAGCTCCAGCAACGTGATTTTGTTGAGGGCTCCCCTAGGAAACAGCAGGGGTCTTGGCACATAGAGGGTCTGTTGTGGCCCCCTCTTTGTCCAGTAGCGGCCCAGGTTAAACCCATTGATCCAGACTTGGCCCTGGGGAGGAGGAAGGAGAGGAATATAAAGGATCAGCTCTCAAAGGGGTAGAATTATCCCCTTTGGGGTTTCTAATCAGAGGAATAATTTCTGCTCTCCCTCCTTCCAAGATTTTCCTCTTACCACCCTACTCCCCAGCCCCACCCTCACTGTCAGCAATACCTTGGTCCATCCAGGTAGAAAGAGAAATGTGTCCCCGCCTGAGTCTAAAATTGGGAAGGTTGTAGAGTAGAAGGTGGGGCCAGAGGGAGTTTGAGGATGTGAGCTTTTCAGCAACTGGTTGGGAAACCACCACTTTACAAGATTATCAACTTTCAGAGGGAACATCAGCCACTGGGTAAGGACCGTTTGCCCCAGAATTGGTGGCTCCAATAGGCCCTGTGAAGAAGGCAAATGAAAATTCATCATTCTCTAAGTTCTAAGGCCAAACTATCCCTACTCAAGCCCTGGGATGCAACTAGTGGCCATGTCCAGATCCCCACAAGCTGCTGCTTTGCTGCCTAAGCCCTAAGGACATAGCTTTTTTTTTTTTTTTTTTTTTTGGTACACGGGCCTCTCACTGTTGTGGCCTCTCCCGTTGCGGAGCACAGGCTCTGGACGCGCAGGCTCAGCGGCCATGGCTCACGGGCCCAGCCACTCCGCTGCATGTGGGATCTTTCCAGACCGGGGCACGAACCCGCATCCCCTGCATCGGCAGGCAGACTCTCAACCACTGCGCCACCAGGGAAGCCCAGGACATAGCTCTTGTTTATCTTCTATTAGGCCCCTATCTTTCCAAGGGAGTTCGGTCAATAAGAATATTGGGGGGTGGGAATTCCCTGGTGGTCCAGTGGTTAAGACTCTGTGCTCCCAATGCAGGGGGCTTGGGTTCAATCCCTGTTCAGAGAACTGGATCCCGCATGTCACAACTAAAGATTCTGCATGCTGCAGCTAAAAAAGATGCCATGTGCTGCAACAAAGATCCCACGTGCAGCAAGTAAGGCCTGGCGCGGCCAAATAAATAAATAATTTAAAAAATGAAATTAAAAAAAAAAAGAGTATGGGGGCAAGGGAGTGGGCATAGCTAGCTCACCTTGAAGTCACTGCTGTTAGACCCAAAACTGAGCCTCCCCATGTTCTCCAGCAAGACATCCAGTTTGGCCCCCTTTTTCCCCGTCAAAAATAGGTTGTGTTTCATGTTTCGTTCCAAAACACCCTGAAACACCTGTGGATAAGAGTATCTGTAAAAGGGAGGAGCTCAGCATCTAGCCTGTGGCCACCACACAGGAAGCCACATTAGGACACTGATTTAGAGGGCAAAGAGAATATAGCTCTTCTGTCACTTATCCATTCATAATGGAACCTTATCCTTAGTCAAACTCTTCCTCATCCCAGCTTATCCCCTCAAATGTGAGCAGGCAGTGGGAAAAGGTAGATATGGGAAATTTAAGACTAAAGTGTGCTGGGGAGGAGAGGAAATGGGCTCAGAGATAGCCTGGTATTAGGTTCTCACCCCATCCACCATCACGTAGGCACGGTCATGGACTCCATTGTTTGGCACCCAGAATTGTGTTGGCTCAGAAACAGTATGGGTCAGATAGGTCCGGTACAACATATACCCATGGTCCTGGGTGTGTAAGAATAAGTTTATAAGCTGAGAGATAAGAAAGGATACTGTGGGGAAGATGCATAGCTGAGGGAACCCCTGGTATAGCTGTTGCCATACCCACCGGATGGGGGATTATGCTTTACCTGGTTGACAGCCTCAAAGGTCATTGGCAGGATTGAATGGATGGGCCCTTGGGGACATAGGAAGTCTAGGAAAGCCAGCAAATTCCCATCCTGTTAGAATAAGGGGAAAGTATCAGAATATGAGGGAACTTTCAGAATAGAGGGTAGGACAGGCTGGGCTATTTAGAGAATAAAGGGGTAGAATTAGAGAGTAATGGAGAGAAGCTTACCAGGTGTAGGCTCAAAGGTCCAAGCATCATCTTGGGGCTGGGGGGAGGTAAAGGTCCCAAGGGAACTTCCTGGAACTGAGATCAAATTCTCTCAGGAACCATAGGAAAACCACACAAAGAACCCCTATTCCAAGACCCTAGTGCAGGGTTCTTAACTGGGGGTCCAGGGAAGGGCTTCAGGGGTCATGAAGGTTCTGTAATTTTACACATATTTGTGTGTATCTCCCCAGGGAATCCCATTTGGGTGGGTGAGAAATGCTGCCATAGGGTGCTCAGAGGGCTCTCTGGCCCAGACAACAACCACTGATTTATGGGATCCCTTTACAAGTAATTTGGGTACTCCCTCCCCCCAAATTAATAAAAGCTTTTGGTGCTTAATGAAGTGGTGGGGCACCTTGCTGATGACATTTCGAATAGCAAAAAGCTTAGGTGTGGGGTCCCCTGCTTCAGATATGGGTGCATCGTAGTCGTAGCTGGTAGTAATTGGAAGAAAGCGTCCCTTCTCATCAGCACCTGGTCAAACAAATTTAATTAATTCCATATATCTTTCAGGTGATAGGCACTAAGCAAAGAAATGCATGCAGAGAGTTTTGCTATCAGCAGGGGCAGCAGTGGCCACATCCAGCTTCTAGCGTCCTAATCCGTGCAGCCCGCAGATTCTAATTCCTTGCTGCCTCCCTGCTGCCACCCCAGGGACCATCTGGACTCACCATTCCAGTATCCAAAGTTGGTACCTCCATGGAACATGTACCTAAAGTGGGGGAGAGCAGGGGGAAAGGTAAAAGCTGACCCACTGAATCTTAACCTTCATCCCCAGCACCCAGTTACAGAGTCATGCTGGCCCCGGTGTCTCCAGTTACATGTTCACACTGGCTCCCAACTTTAGCATGTTCTCTAGTCCTTTGGTTACAGCTGGTACGGAGCGTGTGGAGTGATTCTGGCCCCAGTAATCCAGCCAGCCTGTGTAGTACTCAGAGTTCACCTACAGCATGAAGTGAAAGGAGCTGTGAGCCAGATGGGAACCGAGCTCAACCCATTTCCCACTCTGACACCTGCTTTGATTGCCCTCCCCTCTGGCTCCTCACCAATGGCCCGCGGGGTTCATACTTCCGAAGCAGGGCAAAGATTTTGGTCATGTTGTCAGCTGCAGAAAGGAGGCAAAGGTGAAAGATGAGCAACATGGAACAGGTGCCCCTTCCCCAGACTTCACTCCGAACCCTTGCTCAGGAGACCTGGGCCAAAATCTATAGTGGTATAGAGTCCCTGGAGGGAGCCACATTTGAGGCCTTCAGGGCCATCTGTGGTGAAGAGCAAGATCTTGTCTCCAAGCAGTGCACGGAAGAGCCCAGCCAGGTGTCTCATGTAGCTCATGTCGCAGGCCCCGTAGCTACCGTATTCATTCTCCACCTGCCAGGGGAAAGGAAAAGTGGAGGTCGGCTATGAGGTGGAGAAATTAAGGACACCGTCACCTCCTTCCCCTAGCCCAGTCAACTTTCCACTTGTACCTGAATGCTAATGATGTTGCCCCCATTGTGGTAGAGCCATGGATGTATCTTGGGCAGCAAGACCTTGAGCCAGGAGTCCACTGCGGCAAGGAAGTCTAAAGGAAGGGGCAGTGCTCTGTTCATCAGGGCACCACCACCTCTGCAGCCCCCACCCCTAGCCTCAGTGCTAGCAACTTCAGTGCTGCCTGAACTCTGGGCTGCACTTTGCACCCCACTTGTCCACAGCTGTGTCTGGGAAGCAGTGACTTGTCAGGAGAATCTCTGAACCCTAAGCACTTGTATAGTTGCATGGCAATGAAATTTGAGCATAGGAAACAAAGCAGTATTTCTTGTAAATTCATTTTTTAAATGTAAGAAAAATGTTAAAACACATCAAATGGAGCTGTTATTATGTAATCATATATACTTGAGATTGCTATGAAGTAGCATGGGAGTTTACAAAAGTGTAGAATGTCTGACCTGCACCCTGATATAACTGACAGTCCAGGAGATTTAAGTCATCAAATGAAAGATGATATTGGGTATCATGCCTTAAATTCTCAACTCCTATTGGTGATTTCTGTTGACTCACCCTCAGAAGACTGATGCATGACCTCTGCCTCCTTACCTAAGCAACTCCAACTCAGGCTTCAGATCTTAAATTTCACTTCCCCAAGGAAACCTCTGATATCCTAGATGAGGGTAGATCCCCCTGTTACACACTCTCACATCACTTCATACTTCCCTTTCGAGTGCTTAACAAATTATAATTAAGCATTTATTTCTGTAATTGTTTCCTGTTGGTCTCCCCCACTAGTGAGCAGGAACCTTGTCTGTCAGGTTCATTTGCTGCATCCCTGTCATTGAGGACAATGCTTAGCAGATAGCGGACTCTCAAAGGTGGAGTCAACGAAAGATATTTTAGAGGGTATTTTTATATTCTTAAAACATTTAATTCCTTTACATTTTGTGTTCTGTATAAAGGAGGCCCAGGTTGTTTTGCCTCCTTTAATCCAAGCATACATTAACTCTCATTCAACAGGTATTTATGGGTGCTCACTATGCACTAAGCAGTGTTCTAGGTGTTAGGGATACAGAAGGGAACAAAATGGACAAAGATCTCTGTCCTTGTGGAATTTCCTTTCCAGTGAGGGAGGCAGTGAATTAAATAATCAGGTAAAATATGTAGTGTGTTAATGCCAAGGTGAAAAAATTAAGCAGGGAAGGAGGATATAAAATGGTGGGGTGAAGGGAGTTTAAATTTTAGAGGGTGGCCCAGGGAAGGCATCAGCGAGGTCGTTCTGCAGGAAGATAGAGGCAGTACCACGTGCAAAGGCCTCAAGACAGGAACAGCAGAGAAGCCAGCATGAACAATGGGGAGAAGAGTGGATGTCAGGGAGGTGACTGGGCCAATTAGGTAGGACCTAATAGACCATTTTAAGGAATCCATGGTTCGTATTCTGAATGAGTTGAGAACCTGTTGGAGAGGTTTAGACAGAGAAATGACATGATCTAAAATATATATTTAAACTTATATTTTAAGAGGATCACACTGACTGCTGAATTAAGAATAGACTACATGGGGGAGGGGCAAAGAAGGGAAACCAGTTAGGAAGGTATTAAAGTAATCCAGCTGAGAGAGGTGGTTTGGACCAGGGTGGTGGCATTGGGGGCGATGAAAAGTAATTGAATTCAATATATTTTGAGGGTGAAGCTGACAGGATTTTCTGACGGACTGAATGAGGGGCCTGAGAGAAAGACAGGTGTGAAAAATTCCACCACAGTGTTTAGCCCGATGAATTGGAAAATGGACTTGCCATTAACTGAGACAGGGAGAGTGTATGAATAGCTGGTTTGGAAGGAACTTAGTTGTATCAGTATGCCTTTTAGACCTCCAAATGCAGAAGTCAAGTAGGCAGTTGGATATATGGTTTTGGAAGCCAAGGGAAGGTCCTGACTGGAGATATATATTTCAGAATCATTAGCTATCAGATGGAATTTAAAGCACGCAAATGAATGAGATCATAAAGGGAGTAAATATATATGGAAAAGAGGAGTGTCCAAGGACTGAGCCCTGACACACCCCAGCATTTAGTGGAAAGGGAAGTGGAGAAGGATCAGTAAGAGACTGAGAAGGAGTGGTCGCAAAGATTGTAGGGGGAGGGGCAGGGACCAAATAAGTGTGGTATCATGGAAACGGTGAGAAGAGTATTTCACAGGACAAAGTGATCAACTGGGCTGAATGCTGCTGACTGGTCAAGGGGGATAAGATCTGAGACATCACCATGGATTCAGCAATGAAGAGGTCACTGGTTTTCTTGAGAAAAACAGACTGCATGTTGTTTTTCCATCAATACTTTATCATTTTAAATGTATTTCATAGTCAGTTGAGTTTCGGAAATGCTATAAGTGGCATAAAGCTCTCCAGCACCCTAAGAAGTGAAACAGCACCTGGAGAGTCCCCAGCAGATATAAGGAATTTTGACCTTTTTAAAACAGTAAACTTTTTAAAAGGTGTAAAGCAGATAGAATTATTCCCTGCTCTAATGACTTCCTACTTGCACCTGAAATGAAATCCAAACGCCTTGAAATATTGGGCATCTCATCTTTTCTTTTTCATGCTCTTTCCCTAATTAATGTCTCAGTACACATGGATTTAAATGCCATCCTTACACCGATGACTCCCAAATTTATGCCTCTAGCTCAGACCTACTCCTAAGCTCCACATTCACACATCCTATTGCTTACTTAATATCCTCCCTTGAGTGATAAAAATTTAACATGACCAGAACACAACCATTGTTTCTTCCCCAAAAGTTGTTCTTTTGCCACCCCTTGTCTTCTCTATCTTCCCTAAGTCAATAAATGGCACCACCATCTTGACTGGCCAGAAACTTGACTCCTTTCTTTCCTCATCCTACCCACACTGCCCCCACCCCTCCCCCTCTCATCAAAATCTGTCAGTAGAGTCCTGGTGACTTTTATCTCCAACCTATAGCTCAGTCCTGCTCTCTTCTTTCTATTTCCACCACTATCACAGTCCAGGAGCCGTCATCTCTCTCCTCAGCTACAGTCATAGTCTCCCAGTTAAGTTTCTCCACCTCTACCCTTGCTCCCCTCAATCCATTTTCCACATCCAGGCTAACGTAATCTAAAAACAAATCAGATAATTCTGGTTAAACTCTTTCAATGACTTTCTACTGTGCTTATAATAAAATGCAAACCCCTTACAGTGGCCTGTAAGATCCTGCATTAACAGTCCCTATCTATCTACAATTTCTTGTCATACTACTCTCCCTCACCCACTGTGCTCCAGCCATGCTGGCCTCAACCATGCCATGATCTTTCTATCTCTGGGCCTTAAAAGATACCATATCCGGGAACTCCCTGGCGGTCCAGTGGTTAGGACTTCGCACTTTCACTGCCAAGGGCCATTCAATCCCTGGTCTGGGAACTAAGATCCTACAAGCCCTGAGGCGCGGCCAAAAATAAATGAATTAATTAATTTTAAAACAATACATCATTCCCTCTACCTGGTCGTTCTCGCCTCACTCTTCATATGACCGGTGTTTTCCCTTCCCTAGAGTAACTGAAATGTCATCTTCTCAGGAAAGCCTTTTCTGGCCTTCCTACCTAAAAGAGGCCCTGTTATTCACTATCTCAACTCCTTGTCTATTTTCTTGTGTAGTATTTTTAAATAATCTTATAAGTTTGGGGTTTTTTTAAATTAACGTTTCTTCCAGACTGGGTCTGTCTGGTCCCCCAGTTCCTAGCATTCTGCTGGGCATGATGAAAACACTAAATATTTGAATGAATGATCTCTGTTTGGGGCACTCAAATGACCCATTTTGTTGTTGTCCTTTGCTTTTTTCTGTGTCAAGTCTTTTTTTCTCAGCTCACCTGGATCTGAAGTTCTCAGATGAATTTTAGGTTTTCGAAGCAACCAGGCTGGGAGACCCCCCTGAGACAAACATAAAGACAACAGAGAAGTGAGTGGGGGACTTCCCTGGTGGCGCAGTGGTTAAGAATCCGCCTGCCAATGCAGGTGACATGGGTTTGAGCCCTGGTCCGTGAAGATCCCACATGCTGCAGAGCAACTAAGCCCGTGCACCACAACTACTGAGCCCGCATGCCACAACCACTGAAGCCTGCGTGCCTAGAGCCCGTGCTCCACAACAAGAGAAGCCATTGCAGTGAGAAGCCCACACACCACAAAGAAAAGTAGCCCCGCTCACTGCAACTAGAGAAAGCCGGTGCAGCAACGAAGCCCCAAGGCAGCCAAAAAAAAAAAGTGACTGGGCTTTGTTGTCTGGGAGTGGAGTAGGGGAGGTAAGAAGGGAGGAAGTTGAGTATAGTGATGGAAGTGACCCTAGAGTGGGGGCAGATGCGAGTAGTCTGGGAACTGCACTTCGGAGGCTTTGCTTCTATTCATTCTCCCACTAACTCACCATCTCCCACTCTGCACAGATGTAAGGTCCTGGTCTCAGTATGACCAACAGGTTTGCTAAAGTTGCCTCTCTCAGAAATGCAAAGAGGTCACGGTTGGCATTAAAGTTATAGACCCCAGGCTCTGGCTCGTGGTAGTTCCAGGGCACATAACTGAGAAAGGAAGAGGTTAACAAGGGCCCAAGGCAGGGAGATGCCGCGGAGGCCTATGGGCTCAGGCTTTGCAGGGAATCTCCAGGAAGCTGTTGGAAGGAGGTCCTGGCCCACCCTTTCCCACCCTTGGCTGGGAGGCCCTGGAGCTAGAACCTCTCATACACAGCCAATCTTCCTGTCCTGATCCCCTTCTTAAGGGGGTGGTAGGAAGAGTAAATCCCACCCTTCCATGGCTCTCGGGAGCACTTCTTACAACTGTACGGCGTTGAGGCCACTCATTCGCATCTTGAAAAGCCGGTCTGCCCAAAGCACCCGTGGTACCCGAAAGTAGTGCAGGCTGCCAGACACGTAGCGGAACGGGGCCCCGTCCAGGAGGAATCTGTCATGATCCCGATCCACTACAAACGACCGAGTGTCTGCCTGCAAGGGGAGACGGTGCTCAGCAGTGGTCTGGAGTCGGGGGTCAGCGTCTGCCAAGAGCAGAGATGGAACTAGCCCTTCCCAGTATTCTGTTGTTTTCACTTAAGTTCTCTCCTCCGCCATATCTGATCCCGTCTCCCCGCACCCAGCCGGCTGGTTTGATACTCATCCTACCTGGGGCAGCAGCCGCGTCAGGAGTAGCAGCAGCAGGGAGGGAAGGCAGAGCAGCTTCTGGGGAGCCATGGCGCTTTCGGGGCTCTTCTAGTCAGAGACGGTGGTCCGACCGTCACGTGGCGGATTCCTGGGAGGGAACCTCAGCGAGCAAGTGGGCGGAGACCACCTCAAGTTGCCAGGCGAATTAGTCTGGACTTTGTCTACAGCCTGCAGCTACCCACTACTCGACTAGTTTGTAAAATCCTCTACATCTTGCTACTCAAAGTGCAGTTCATGAGCCAGCTTCACCAGCATCACCTGGGAGCTTGTTAGAAATGCAGAGTCTCAGATCCTACCTCAAACCTATAGAATCAGATTTTGTATTTTGACAAGCTTTCCAGGTGCTCCTAAGCAAACTCAAGATTGAGAAGCAGGGATTTCCCTGGTGGTCCAGTGGGTAAGACTCTGTGCTCCCAATGCACTAGATCCCACATGCCACAACTAAGAGCCCACATGCCGCAACTAAGACCAGCGCAGCCAAATAAATAAAGATTGAGAAGCAGTGCTCTACTACACTGAGCCCCCTGAGGGTGGGGAGAATCTTATCCAACCTGAATCCTCTGCTTCTATCACAGGGCCTGGCACATAGCAGGTTAAATCTAGATGAATGTCAGAAACAGGTTCAGAACCAAGGGAAACCAGAGGAAAGGGGGTGGGGGGGACCAGATTACAAGAGGGATCTTTTTCCTGGAGAGTCCTTTGCTGCTTCAACAAAAGAGACCATCTAGGCCATCCTATTTTCTTTGGATGTGCACCTCTTTCCAATTTATCCCTGCCTGCTTAGGCAAGAGAGGTCGAGGACAACTGCTTGGTTCCAAGGCTTGGGAATTTGTGAATTTCCATTACACCTGCCTTCACAGTCCCAAGCCTGGGATGTGAGGACCAGGATAATATTATTATTATTAATTTCTGATTATTGACGCTGCCGAGAGCTATGTGTCAAATACTGTGCTAAGCACTTTCCCTCTCATTTAATCTCCAGACAACTCTGTGAGGCCGATGATGATCATTTCCATTTTACTGATGAGGGGGCTGAAGGATACAAATATGAAGTAGCCTGTTCAGTGTCACACAGCTAGTTTAGTAGAGCTGGGATTTAAACAAGGCAGTCTGGCCTCACAGTTCATGCACTTAACCTTAGGTACTAGTATACCCATTTTACAGTGAGGGAAAGTGAGCCTTCCAGAGGTTAAGTAACTTGTTCAGGTCACACAGCTAATAGGCTATTAAGACAGGATTCAGACCCTAGTCTGGTTCAAGAGCCTGAGCTCTTAACCACTGAGACTACGGTAATGGGATACAGGCCAGAGCCCTCAAGGTTGTACTGATCAGAGCTCCAGGGGTCCAGGCCGCCAGCACCCGCCCCTCTCAGCATCCACCTCGGGCTGGACCGTAGCTGGCTGCCCAGTGCGCGGGAGGTATGACGCCCCCTACCTCTGGCATTGGGAGATGGAGGTCCTGGGGGGCCTCAGGCCGAGGCCGGCTTTGCTCCCCTTTGGCGTAGATGCCTGCGTCTTGACCCGTACTGAAGGCCAGGTGTGGAACCCTCACTCGGGTCCTGGGACCCGTCCTCCCCCTGGCCTAGCCAGCACCGGGCCTCTCAGCTCCACGCCCCCACATCGCCTGGGTGCCCAGAGGTTGCTAGCATACTACGGGCCGTTACACAGGCGCGGGCTGATGACGTAATCGCTGTTTCCGGTGTCTGGCGCCTCCCTCCAGCCGAAGCCAGGTGAGTTGGGAGTCCAGGCTGGCCCACCCTGGGCTCTGCGCGCCGAGACTGGGGTGGGCTGTGCAAGTGGTGGGTCCGGGCCTCGCACCTCCCCCCCGGAACCCCCCCATGACCTGCCTTTGCAGCCCAACGGGCGTGGGAGTGGGAGTCGCCTAAAGGTGGGCGGGGGTTGGAGGAAGTGGCCTGGGAGTCGCCGCGGGGCCTGAGGCTTTTAGGCACCTGACCCCAGCCTTGGAGCCGGCGTTGCCAGGGCCCATTTTTTCTAGGTTCCGAGATCTGGCCCTGAGCGCTCCACGTTGCCACTTTAGGGGTCTTCTGGATTGTGCCCGGCCAGCGACCCTGCCGTTCTTTTCCTTCCAGCATGATCCGCTGGACCCCCAGCGACTTGCCTGAAAGAGACCTCTCAACCTGGACGAACCCTTTGGCAGCCCCAGACCGTCCTTAAGGAGGATGACTGAGACACTATGGGCCACGCGCTTTGTGTCTGCTCTCGGGGAACTGTCATCATTGACAATAAGCGCTACCTCTTCATCCAGAAACTGGGGGAGGGGTGAGTGTTTGGAAATCATTTAACTAGTCCCTAGGGTTATGGTGTTTGAAGGACAGCAGTCTGCACATGATAGGGGCACAAAAGTTTTCTGCCTAGCCTCTGATTCACCTGACAGAGCCCAGCTACTGTGGTGGTCAAGAAAGTGGATTGTGGAGCCAGGCTTCCTAGATTCACCATGTATGGCCTTGATAAGCCATAGTTTCATCTGCCTTTTGGAGCTAATTATGCTTTACTTGTAGGGCTGTGAGGAATAAATTAGATACTGCGTATCAAATGTCTCCGCTACGGCCTGGTTCATAGCACTTGATAAATGTTGACTGTTATTTATTTAATATTTATGGAGCATCTGTCATGTGCAGAGCCCTGCATTAAGATCATAGCACCTAGGGGCTTCCCTGGTGGCGCAGTGGTTGAGAGTCCGCCTGCCGATGCAGGGGACACGGGTTTGTGCCCCGGTCCGGGAAGATCCCACATGCCACGGAGCGGCTAGGCCCGTGAGCCACGGCCGCTGAGCCTGTGCATCCGGAGCGTGTGCTCCTCAACGGGAGAGGCCACAACAGTGAGAGGCCCGCGTACCGCAAAAAAAAAAAAAAATCATAGCACCTAAAAGGTGACTCTGTCCCTGGTCTTGAGCTCAAAGTGTAATAATCTTCAGACTTCTTTTTAGAGTCACACCTTGGGAGGGTTGTTACTAAACGGGAAAGACACCACCCTGCCCCACCCTTCTCCCCAGGGAATTCCTCTGGGTCCAAGCAGTGTGGGAAATGACCATGGTCCTTCACTGACCCCTTTGGCCCACAGTGGGTTCAGCTATGTGGACCTAGTGGAGGGGTTACATGATGGACAGTTCTACGCCCTGAAGCGAATCCTGTGTCATGAGCAGCAGGACCGGGAGGAGGCACAACGAGAAGCAGACATGCATCGCCTCTTCCATCACCCCAACATCCTTCGCCTTGTGGCTTATTGTCTGAGGGAGCGAGGCACTAAACATGAGGCCTGGCTGCTGCTACCCTTCTTCAAGGTCAGAAAGTCTCCTGGCTATGGAGGGGGTTGCAACAGAGCCACCTGCCAAGGGCTGTGTGAGCAGTCAAGAACGTTGGGAAGCAGAGACCGTGTTCTGGTTTGACTACTTCAGATTTGGGGTTTAAGGAACCCAGATGGGGCTGTGGGGTGTGTGGTGAGATGGTTGATAGGCTTTGTCATGGGGAAGGACTCAGGCTCAAGGAGCAGAGGCTAAAAAAACATCAACTGTGGGGAAACTTGTTTTGCAGAGAGGTACGCTATGGGACGAGATAGAACAGCTGAAGGACAAAGGCAACTTCTTGACTGAAGAGCAAATCCTTCAGCTGCTGCTGAGTATCTGCAGAGGCCTGGAGGCTATTCATGCCAAGGGTTATGCCCACAGGTCAGTGGGAGGCTCCTGTGTACCTGCGGGGCAGAAGGGAAGAGCCTCATCAAGAGAAATGAGAGGTCTCTGCTGTCCTCCCAAAGAACAGACCCCATGATTCTTTTGCGCCCCCCCCCCGGCCCAGGATTCCAGCCTTCCTGTCCAAGGACGCTCATGGTTCATTTCCACTTTCCTGCAGGGACCTGAAACCCACCAATATCTTGCTTGGAGATGAGGGGCAGCCAGTTTTAATGGACTTGGGTTCCATGAGTCAAGCATGCATCCACGTGGAGGGCTCCCGCCAGGCTCTGACCCTCCAGGTAAGAGTCTCTAGGTTCCTTTGCCTACCTGTTCCCCATCCTCAACCCCTTCTGGTGCGTGCCCCAATTTGGTCACATGACCATGACCTGTGCCCCACTTTTGAGCTCTGGGGCCACTGTTCCAGGACTGGGCAGCCCAGCGGTGCACCATCTCCTACCGGGCCCCGGAGCTCTTTTCCGTGCAGAGCCACTGTGTCATCGATGAGCGGACTGATGTCTGGGTGAGGAGGATGTGGGTGGGAATCTGGGTGGGGAGGAGTGCTGCTCTGTACCTACTGTGGAGTAGAACAGGTCTTTGGTTTCTAGCGCATGGGGCCCCAGAAACCACGTATGTCCTCATCCGCCCTCGACTCTCTTCCTGGAAACTGTCACTGACACTAAGTTGCTCAGGAAGTGGTATAATCCCGCCCTTTGAACAGGGTGAGTACAGCCAACTGTCAGGGCTGAAGGCAGTGGCCAAGCCCAGGGTGCAGAGGCCTCCAGCTAACTCGCAGTTTCTCTGGGCCCTGGTGGTGTCATGTGACTGAAGTCCGCATATTGTAGTTTCCTTTCACTACAGAATTAAGGGGAGCGATATCACCTACACTGGTCCCCTTCCAAGGAATAACCAAGTTATGCTTAGTCCCTAGGCTGTGTGCTATATGCCATGATGTTTGGGGAAGGCCCTTATGACATGGTGTTCCAGAAGGGTGACAGTGTGGCCCTTGCTGTGCAGAACCAACTAAGCATCCCGCAGAGCCCCAGGTGAGCAGTGAAGGGGGCAGCAAAAGCAGTTCAGACTCCTCCCAGCCGTTTGCGGGGCTGGAGCTGTGGCACAGGGGATGGCTGCCCTCATGGCCCTGCCCTCCTCCTTCTACAGGCATTCTTCAGCCTTGCGGCAGCTGCTGACCTTAATGATGACTGTGGACCCGCAGCAGCGCCCTCATATTCCTTCCCTCCTGAGTCAGCTGGAGGCACTGCAGCCCCCAGCTCAGAGCCAGCACACTACCCAAATCTGAACAAACCAGTGGCCATGTTGAGAAGGTGCCCCCTGTGCCTTGGGAAGAAGCTCCCACCCCTTAGTGGAATCTCCATCCCTTCTAACCAGGACAGCTGTCTTGTAGTTGGGGGCAGCTGGGGGGTGGGGACAGTCAGCTCAGTCTTCTGTCTCTGATTCTGCTCCCTTACGCCCAAGAGCAACAACTGGACTGGGGGCCTGACTGGGTAGTGGTGGGTGAGGGTGGGGAACGGGGAAAGGGGAACTGATAGAATCTGGTAAAGGTTCTGAGCAGGACTGCTGAGCTTACATCATGATCTGTCTCCAAATCTGGGAGCAGGAAAATGTATGAATAGAAGAATAAAGTGCAAGTAGCTTGGTGTGATCTTAGTTTCCTTGTGCCTGGAGTGAGAGAAGAGGTGCAGGGGGCCAAAAGTCTGGTTGCCATTTCCAAGGGAGAGCCTGGAGAGAAGAGGAACTGGCGTAGCGTCAAGAATGGCGTGAGTTCATCATTCCACGTACGTAGGCAGGTGTGCCTACCTTAGATCTGGCTGGTTGGTGGTGGGCAATACTTCTCCTAGCTTGTCTTATTCAGAAACTTCAAGATGCTCTGGTTTGAACTGGCTTCTATGCCAAGAACTGTGACCAGGGCCGCCTTAAGCACCCTCAATTCATACTTTCATTTCTTCATTCCCAGGGCTGGGTAGCTTAGAGCAGCCCGGCTAGTTTTCCAGGCAACGGCTTCTGGGTGGAGACACCTGAGGAGTCTTTGGGACAGCTACATAGCTGGTCTCTAGCCTCTGCCTGGGAGCAAGGAGAGTGGAGGTGGCAGCCATTTTGGCCCAGAATCTCTCCCAGATGGTTCTAGTTCACACATGGTTAATGATTAATGAGGCCAGTGTGGTGTGGCAGTATCCAGCTGCCACTTCCTGCTTACTCTGCTGAGTAAACAGGGGCCCTGCCCTTGCTGGGCTTGAAAGCTGTTCCCCTGGGAAGGGCACCGTGTTCCTGAATCACCAGGGAGGGGAGGCAAGGGCAGGGTTCGCATCTCCTGCTCCTGAGATTGAAGCTTCTTCCCCGCACTGTGCCCACCCCCAACAGCTGACGTCAGTGTGGGTCCCAGGGTGCCTATTAGCAAAGTTGAAGTTTTCCCCAGGGCCCTGGCAGGAGGCTTCCACCAGCTAGCACAGAGGCTGAGGCCAGAAAGAAAGCACAAACAGAGGGGAAATGACCTGACTTTTAATGGCACAGCCCTAGGCCCCAGCAAAGCAGCGAGACCAACAGTAAGCTTTGCAAAGCTGCTAGGAGGTGCAGTGACATAAACAACTCTAGGAGATCGCCCTTGTTCCCTCCCATCCCCCAAGCTTATGACTAGGCTCCATGCCCAGGAACTCTGGGCCAGCTCAGCCCCACTCCCAAGCCCTTATAACGCACAGAGGTACCTGGGCCAAGCCTTGCCTCCAGAGTCAGTGAATGCAGAGCAGCGGGAAGAATAGGGTAGCCGTCTAACTCTCAAATACAGAAACTGCTGGGCTTAAACTACTACTTGGAACAGAAGTGAAGCCTCAGATCCTTTAACAGCTTATGGCTGGACAGACGGGTCCAAGACTTGGTCCTCATCTCCCCCCTATCCTGGGCTCCTCTAGGATCATACACGGGGTCATGTTTCCTGGGCCTGGCAAGGAAGGTCTTTCTTTCCTGGCCTGAAGTTCTCACTTTCAGCCACGGAAGGGAAAGAGTCACGAGCAGCACATAGTGAGGGCAGCAGCAGAAGCAGCAGCAGCACAAAAGGGGACGAGGCAGCAGAAGCTTAATCACCCAAGGAGGGGACAAGAAACCGTGCAAGGAGACTGTTTATTTCGAAAGGATTTTGCAATAAACACAGTGAGTGGACTCCAGGCAGCTGTTCTATTCTTCTCCCTCATCCTCGTCCTCATAGGAGTCGATGCCTACTTCCTCGTAATCCTTCTCCAGGGCAGCCATATCCTCCCGGGCCTCGGAGAACTCACCCTCCTCCATGCCCTCGCCCACGTACCAGTGCACAAACGCCCTCTTGGCATACATCAGGTCGAACTTGTGGTCCAGGCGGGCCCAGGCCTCAGCGATGGCGGTCGTGTTGCTCAGCATGCACACGGCACGCTGCACCTTGGCCAGATCACCCCCGGGCACCACAGTGGGGGGCTGGTAGTTGATGCCAACCTTGAAGCCCGTGGGGCACCAGTCCACGAACTGAATACTGCGCTTGGTCTTGATGGCAGCGATGGCGGCGTTGACATCCTTGGGCACCACGTCTCCACGGTACAGCAGGCAGCAGGCCATGTACTTGCCGTGACGGGGATCACACTTCACCATCTGGTTGGCAGGCTCGAAGCAGGCATTGGTGATCTCTGCCACCGACAGCTGCTCGTGGTAGGCTTTCTCTGCAGAGATGACTGGCGCATAGGTGGCCAGGGGGAAGTGGATGCGAGGGTAGGGCACCAGGTTGGTCTGGAACTCCGTGAGGTCCACGTTGAGGGCGCCGTCGAAGCGCAGGGAGGCCGTGATGGAGGAGACGATCTGGCTGATGAGGCGGTTGAGGTTGGTGTACGTCGGGCGCTCGATGTCTAGGTTGCGGCGGCAGATATCATAGATGGCTTCGTTGTCCACCATGAAGGCACAGTCTGAGTGCTCCAGGGTGGTGTGGGTGGTCAGGATGGAGTTATAGGGCTCCACCACGGCCGTGGACACCTGCGGGGCTGGGTAGATGGAGAACTCCAGCTTGGATTTCTTGCCATAGTCAACAGAGAGCCGCTCCATCAGGAGTGAGGTGAAGCCAGAGCCAGTGCCCCCTCCAAAGCTGTGGAACACCAGGAAGCCCTGAAGTCCTGTGCACTGATCAGACTGAAAGGCAAGAAAGTAGAGAGCAATGTGGGCAGGGAAGGGGCCTGAGGAACTCTTTATCTTCTGGCTTCACAAACGCCTAAAATTTCTCAGGAGTCAAGGCAAAGACTAATGAGTATCCCATAGCTGCAGCATGCTCTGGGACATGTACAATTAGAGATGACCCCATGAAATGGATGTGGGAGGGCTTCCCTGGTGGCGCAGTGGTTGAGAGTCCGCCTGCCGATGCGGGGGACACGGGTTCGTGCCCCGGTCTGGGAAGATCCCACATGCCGTGGAGCGGCTGGGCCCGTGAGCCATGGCCGCTGAGCCTGCGCGTCCGGAGCCTGTGCTCCACAACGGGAGAGGCCACAGCAGTGAGAGGCCCGCATACCGCAAAAAAAAAAAGAAATGGATCTGGGAAAAAATGTTTCTGACCATTAGCATCCTCTCAAACGCTCCCTTCCTTCCATCCCAAGTTCTCACCAGCTTGCGGATTCGGTCCAGTACAGGGTCAATGATTTCCTTGCCAATGGTATAGTGACCACGAGCGTAGTTGTTAGCAGCATCCTCTTTCCCAGTGATGAGCTGCTCGGGGTGGAAGAGCTGTCGGTATGGGCCATTTCGGATCTCATCTGGAAGGGCATAAACCACATCATTAGGGCAGAAACCACAAGGCTGTGCTCAGCACATACCTCCCTCCCCCAGCCTGGTAACTGTGGTCAGATATATGGAAGAGCTCATCCTTCTGCCAGCCTGAGATACCAGTGTGTATGGGAAACCCAGACCTGCTGCCCAGGCCAGCCTGCAATCAGCTTGCCTTCTTTAGCTTTCAGCAGGGCAAGGGGTTTTTAGGGCCAGGAAAGCCAGGTCTACACACCCTCTCTCCAGAGAGAAGCTTAGAGTCACTTTCCATCCCCTCAATTCCACCCTCTCTTCCTCTCACCGATTACGGTGGGCTCCAAATCCACAAAAACTGCCCGGGGCACATGCTTTCCAGCGCCGGTTTCACAGAAGAAGGTGGTGAAGGAGTCGTCCCCTCCACCAATGGTCTTGTCACTGGGCATCTGCCCATCTGGCTGAATCCCATGTTCCAGACAGTAGAGCTCCCAGCAGGCATTGCCCATCTGAACACCTGCCTGCCCCACATGGACTGAGATGCATTCACGCTGAAGGATAAAGAGAGGGGACATGGCATAAGCTCCACATACATAAGTCCTTACCTCATGAGCCTCTCTCCCACCCTATCACCTACCAGTTAGGATCACTCAGTTGGCAAAAGTGGAGGCTTGGGGCTGGGCAGAGGTCAAAGAGGCTGGCAGCCTGCCCAGGCTCCCCTGCATAGGACTTTCCAACTGGAGGCACCCAGTAGGGCAGGCCAGTCCCTCAGCCTACTTCTCCATTGGGACCTTGTCAAGTAAGAGCTGTGGCTCCACATGACCCTGCTACATTCACAGGACACTCAGGGAGGACGGAGAGGGCAAGTGTGTATGAGACAGGCAGACACTGCAGTAACTGAGACAAGGACAAGCGATTTTTCAGCTGTTCCCAATCCCTACTCCCACAAATCAGCTTCTCAAGAGCCTGAGGAGGGACAGAAGGTTTTCCGGAGCTATGAATTTATAGCTAGAGGTCCCCAGCTTGATTAGTTCTTTGCTCTGAGGATGGAACAACTAGTATTTCGTATAACCCTCTCCCCCTTTCATTCTTGCGGGCTGCAGAGGTGTCTCAGCCTTCCAGCCAGGCGTCAACTGACCACGCTGGCCAGCAGGATGCCCTCCCCCCACCGCCTTTCAAGCCCGTCTGGCTGCGCTCGTCACCTCCACCCCCACACCCTGGGTGTCTTCACCACCTTCGTCCACTGCGGAGCCCTCACCGAGACTGCAGAGAGCAAAAGACGGCAGGCGCAGGCAATACGGGTTGTGGGTACTGGGGCACTCGCTGCCCTAGGCTCATCCCTGCCAGTGTGAAATTAACCTCTGAAGAGCCAAAGTGGTGCCACGCAGGGCCGGCGCAGCCTCCCTTTTCGACACCGAAATGGCGGGGTGACGGTTTCCAAATACCCAGAAAAGGAAGCGGAACCTGCGGTGAGGCCCCAGAGGTAACCGCCTTGCCCTGGGCAGGGTGAGCGCCATCCTGCACCCTGGCCCTGCATTCGCACCCCCCCCCCCCCCCCCCTTCTAGATTCTTTCCAGTTACATCCCGGCGGAAAGCGAGGATTGGATTTCGGTCCCGGTCCCTAGGCTATAAATACCACCCCCCTACACACACCTCTTTCCCCTCCCCCCAACCTGGCCCCGGCCGCACTCTCGCTCAGCGCCAGCTGTCTCTGCCCGTCCGTGCACCCTGATTCCGGCTGGAGAGAATCCGGCTCGCCTGACTAGGCTGAACCCCATTCTCGCCACCCCTCCAGGATCAGAAGAGGGGTGCTGAGTCACAGGGGACTGTGGGTAGGAGGGATACACACACAGTCGGAGGAAAGGGGGATGCTGCACCAAGTAATCTGACCCCCTCCACCTTCTTGCGCCAAGCACGTGTTTGGTCAGTTCCGGGGACCGGGAAGTGAGGGGGAGGATAGGGGCGGAGGGCAGCCGAGCGGGTCTCCTCGCCAGCGGAAAGGACTGGGCACGGGACCGCGTGACTCCCCTCAGGAGAATTAGGGCACAAAATGCTTGGTGGAGCAGGAGGGGATTCCAGGAGGACTCCTCTCTGCTCGTGAAGGATCCCACCCCACTCCACTCCCTTCCCCAGCCTCCGAAAGTGGACAACGTGGCTCAGCCAAAGTCACCGGGAGGGGGTGGGGTGAGGGAAATGCACCCCCCCACCCCCCCACCCCACTCCTCCGCCAACTCCTCGAGACCAGGAACTTCGGATGGAGGGCTCCGAGCATCCCGGGAGGGAGGTTCCCCGAAGAAGAGGGGCAATTAAGGGACGGGCGAGATGCCGGCAGGGCCGCACTCACCATGGTGAGTCCAGGCAGTGGGTCTCACGTAGAGTCCGGGTGACGGGTCTCAGTGAGAACTGCGCTAGCTGCAGTGCCGCACCGCTCTTATACGCGGGGGGCGGGCCCACGCGCCCCGACCGCCCACTAGGAGCTGGGCAGCCCATAGGCCACGCCCCAAAAGATAGGCGGCCCGGAGGGGTGGGGCCAGGGCGAGTCCCCTCCCCCTGGCGTATCCCCGTCCCTCACCTGTCCCGCGTGGGTTAGGGGTAGCGACCGGATCTTTAACCCTTCGCTCCGGGTTTTGAGCCGACACTCAGAGCTCCTGAGCTCCGCTGTTGGGACGCAGGGCGCAGTGCCAGGACGAGTCTCGCCACCTGCGTCATGGGGGCGCCTGTGGCTCAGGTGTTCTGACTTAGGGCGGGTGCTGTAGAGACTGTTTATCCGAAGTGGCTGTAGCCAGCCTTCGCCGGCGCCCTCCCCGACCCGCCTCCCTGGAGGCTCCGGCCGACTGCCCGGCTCTGGCCTGTCCCCCAGGAACCCCTTGCAGCTGCAAGCAGCCTGCTGGTCCCCGGCCGGGATGGCTGGCCTTCGCCAACGCCCGTGGGCGGCCGAGGACCAGGAGCTGCACAGCCTGAGCCCCAGGTTTTCGATCCCTTAGGCTGCTCCGCGGAGCCGAGCCCCACAGTCTGTCTGCGAGGGCCGACCCCCGGAATCTCCTGCGGCTCGCAGGCTACCCGCCGGTCAGTGGCCCCGTCATCAGCGCCGTCACTATTAGCCGGCCCTCGCCATCGTCACCTGCCCGTTTTCCTGCTGCCAGAACTGCCTGAGCTCTGGACCGAAGCCCTCAGTACCTGGATTCGCATCTTGACTGCCCTTTGTGACCTTGGGCAAGTGACTTAACCTCACTGAGTCCTTGGCATTTTCACCGGTGAGAGGAGACAATGATTCCACCCCCAGAAAGCATTGTTGTGAGGTATCATAACGTTTGTTGACTCCAAAGAGGAAAAAAGGAAATGGAGATTCAGATATCATGGCTGATTTTGACTTCCCCACCCTCTTCTGTCCCTAAGCCATAGGCAGGATCTGCGACATGCATCTCAACGCCCTCAGAGCTCAGGTGGAGGTCTCAGCTGAAGCTATTCCTTCTTTTTACGTTTCATTTCCATTTCTTGCAAGAATGGGCTTTTTAATCTACTTCTGCTTTCCCTTGCATGCCTTACATTTTCTAGCTGTCTCCCTTCACTGAGGAAATCATCAGAAGTGCCCTATGTGCCTATTGGTCACATTAAGAAACCTGTCTCCCAGGCTAGTCACTTAGAAAGGATTCACCTGCCTCTCGTATCAGAGTGTTTCCTAGGGCCAGAGCTGTCTGACAGAACAACACATCAGGATAAAATAACTAGCAATGGCAACTTTCTACCAACAAAATAGCTAATCGACACCTTACTTAGGCAAGGCATGGAAAGGAATACAGTGAAATATGACAAGGTCTCTTTTCCCAGTAGACTAACCATATGGTTGGGAGAACAAGACTCATTCATTAAAAAGAAAACTGGCAAGGGCATACAATGAGGCTGCTTTGGGAAATGGGGTCATGGTCTCTACAGAGCAAGGAGCCTTGGTGATTACAGAACACACGGCCTCTTGCAGACCTTCCCTGGCCCTCTTTTTTCCTTGTGCACCCCAACCCCAGCAGAATGAATATTTTAAGAAGATTGCGCTATCTTAGGCAAAATCCAAAACCTATTTGCCCTTCAGGTTCAGCTTCTTTCTTTGTAAAACTGGGATAATAACTTCGGATTGTGAGGACCAGATGAACTGAGGGATGTGTACATACACAGCAAAGCACCGTGTATGCAGTTGTCTGGACTCTTAGAGCATCTTATTCATTTATTTTAGCGTGTGTAGCACATCATGCTGCGGTTATTCTTGTACACGTCCATCTTATTAGATAGCGGCCTTGTTGAAGGTAAGGATTGTGTCTTATTCACTTTTGTGTCTGTAGCTCCTAGTATGGCGCTTAGCATGTGGTAAAGATTTGCTAAGTGTGTGTCAGGTGAATTTTTTCACTACAGAGACGGGACTAAAATTAAGGTGAAACTCTAAGAAGTCAGAAGTTTCAAATTAGCAGCCTGGAGGCCAAATTCGCCCACAGTGTTAACCCCCATAGCGTTTAGAATATGAAAAAAATCAGGAATTGTCTTTGGGGCATCCCCAAAGACCACCCCTATGTTAGGAGACTTGCCAGACAGACTCTCAGGACTCAGCATAAACTTGGACTCACAGCTAAGGTTTATTACAGCGATGTAGGAACAATACACAACTGGATGATAAGGGGAAAAGACACAAGCAGAGTCTGAAGGAATCTATGCCCTCTCCCTCCCATAAGGGCTCACACAGTGTACTCTTCCTCCAAAATGAAAATGGGACAACGTTTTCCTGCAGTGTTTCTGCCCAAGAAAGCCCGTTAGAGACTCAGCACCCAAGGTTTTTAGTGGGGTCTGGTCGCATAGGCACCTCTGCCTTGCACTTACCAAAATTCCAGACTCTTTAGAAGAAAAGCAGGTGTTCAGCATAAATCATATCGTTTACACACACCATCTAGGCACAATGAACCATGCTTATCAGTTAGCTGTTGACTGGGCACACTCTAAGAGCCAAGTTCCCAGATGCCAGCCAAGGGCCAACCTTGCGAGCGGGCCTTTCTAAGTCTCAGTTCTGCTATGTTAACTCTTTTCTGCACGATCATGTAAAAATCCAGATTTCCAGCTTATCTTGAAAAGAATTGGAAGATATGACTATTCTAGGCCTGCATTCCCATTTAGCAATTGTGATAGGCAGAATAGCTCCCCACCAAGATGTCCACATCCTAATCCCTGGAATCTGTGACTATGTTACCTTACATGGCAAAATCCCTGGAATCTGTGACTACGTTACCTTACATGTCTCTTTGGATGTGATTAGGGTAAAGGTCTTGAGATGGGAGATTATTCTGGATTTTCTGGGTGGGCCCAAAGCAATCACAAGTGTCCTTATAAATGGAAGAGGGAGGCAGGAGAGTCAGAGTCCGGGAAGGAGAGGTCAGAGTGATGGCTTTCAAGATGAAAGGAAGCCATGGTAAGGAATGTGGGCAGCCTCCAGAAGATGGAAAAGGCAAGGAACATATTCTCCTCTAGAGTCTTTAGAAGGAAGACAGCCATACCAACACCTTGAGTTTATCCCTAAACAGGCTTCCAATTCCAGTGTGCAGGGCAGGGGGCTTCCCCACACACCACCAAGCAATTCTCAGCCACCAGCATGGTGTTCAAGAATACAACTCAGGGCTTCCCTGGTGGCGCAGTGGTTGAGAGTCCGCCTGCCGATGCAGGGGACGCGGGTTCGTGCCCCGGTCTGGGAAGATCCCACATTTCGCGGAGCGGCTGGGCCCGTGAGCCATGGCCGCTGAGCCTGCGCGTCCGGAGCCTGTGCTCCGCAACGGGAGAGGCCACAGCAGTGAGAGGCCCGCGTACCGCAAAAAAAAAACACAAAAAACAACTCTATTCTGCCACTTTCTGCCTGGAGACAGCATCAGATTCCCCGATTAAGGGTTTGGTCCTACACGACTGTCACCCACTCCCCACTTCAGATGCCAGTCACTAGCCCAGGTTGTTGCCTGTGCTTCTGACCCACCAGCTACAAATTGGAAGTTCCAACAGCCCCCTCCAATTCAGGATACCAATCACAAGTCCAGGTTGTTACCCGTCTTTCTGACTGACCGGCTGTAAATTAGAGGTTACCATTACTTCTTCCTTGGGTTCAATTAATTTGCTAGAGAGGCTCACAGAGTTCAGAGAAACATTCTACCTACTAGATCACTGGTTTATTATAAAAGGATATAAGCCAGGAGCAGCCAGATGGAAGAGATGCAGAGGGCAAGGTACGGGGAAAGGGCATGAGCTTCCATAGCTCCAGGAGCGCCACTCTCCCAGCACCTCCATGTGTCCACCATCCTGGAAGGTCTCCAAACCCCATCCTTTTGAGTTTGGCTGGAGGCTTCATTACATAAGCACGACTGATTAAATCATTGACTATTGGTAATTGAACTCAATCTCCAGCTGCCCGCCCCTCCCAGGAGGTCAGAAGCGGGTGGTGGGACTGAAATTTCTAACCGTCTAATCACTCAGTTGGCTCCACTGACAAGCAGCCCCCCTCCTTAGGTGGGTCCAAAAGTCATCTCATTAACTTAACAAAAGACACCTTGATCACTCTCAACACTTAGGGAATTCTCAGGGTTTGGGGAACTGTGAGCCAGGAGGAGTGGACAAACACCAAATAATATATAAGAAATATATTTGGGTCATCTGAGTAACCATATATATTTTTTTCTTTTAAATCATAATACTGCAATCCCTATAAGACCTATTTTGGACTTCTGACCTCCAGAACTGTGAGATAATAAATTTGCATTGTTTTAAGCTATTAAGTTTGTAGCAATTTCTTACAGCCTCCATAGGAAACCAATAGGCAACAAATGCAGCTGGGTGGCGGCTACTCTCTTAGGATGGGCAACAAGCTGCTCCAGTTCAGGCAGCCCTCACCACTCTGTGTCTCCCTGGCACAGAAGACCAGTGCCTGTTTCCATTTAACGTCATGTGCTCCACCCACATCACACATTTACATTACCCTGGCCCCTGTAGCAAGGAGTTCACTACCACTGAGCAGGCCTCCTGGCAGGAAAAATGGAGAAGACAAGGTTTTTCAGGGAGACATGCCCAAGGCGTGTTAGTGGAACATAGGTTCTGCTCCTGATTGTGCATGTGTGTTTGTGCACGCTCATGTGTGTATGTGCATGGCTGTGAGCGTGTATGTATCTTCTCAGGGTATATACAGATCCCCTGAATTAGGGCCATAAACTCCTGGTACGTGTGCAGGTAACAGTCCATATTACCAGAAGGAAAACTCTTAGACATTCACATACATGTACAGAATCTAGAAGACGATGCCAGGCACTTCTTCACTCTTCCTCATGACGCATTGCTTAGTCCATTTACCCTACATGGAGGTCCATTCTCTCTTTGGATCGCTCTCCCTCTTCACCACGCCCACTG